AAGTGGTTTGAATGGTTGAGTAAAGCTTAAAACTGAGTAAACTATGGTTAAGTGGTTTGAATGGTTGAGTAAAGCTTAAAACTGAGTAAACTATGGTTAAGTGGTTTAAATGGTTGAGTAAAGCTTAAAACTGAGTAAACCATGGTTAAGTGGTTTGAATGGTTGAGTAAAGCTTAAAAATGAGTAAACTATGGTTAAGTGATTTGAATGGTTGAGTAAACTATGGTTAAGTGGTTTGAATGGTTGAGTAAAGCTTTGAATAAAATATGCTAGTTGTTAATATGGCAAATAGATTTTTTTTAAACTAGTTTAAGTCTTAACTTACCAATGAATTAAATTATAGTTATCAAATTATATCAAACTAAGTATATCTAATTATATAAGTATATCTTATATCTAACTAAGACTAAACTTTTATATTAAACATTCTGATCTTATTAAATTTTATAAATTTTAAATTAATAATGAATTAATTAATTTGGTCATATGTATTAATGACATTGGACATATGCTTGTTATGAATGAACTTGAGAAAATAAATTAAATGAAAAAATAAAGTAAAAAAAAAAAGATTTTTTTTTTAAATAAAACTTGTCTAACTTGAAAAAACTTGAAAATAACTTGATAAATAATCACTAAATTAATTGCTTTGAAAAATAATTACTAAAATAAAATAATTACTAGATTAATTACTTGAAAAATATTTACTAAAAAGTAAATTATGAACTCGTATTAAATGAATTGAACACTTTTAGATTTTCAATTATGCAGTTGCATGTCATAGTAATCTAAAGATAGATCATCTTTTGCATTGACCATGTCAAATGACAACCAAAATTTTGCGGGCTTTGTTACCTATCAGGTTATACTTATTTTCATTGGAGAAAATATTTTGTTATTTGCAGACTAGCTCAGTCGTCACTAGATATTGGTGTTCATTGCCATTTTTTAAAAGAGTTTGGCACAAATTGCTTTAACAGCAGACTTAAAGTTTAGAAGTTTCTCAAAAGAATGAAGATTTAAATGAATGCTTTATTTTCATCTTCAGAACTATTGTTTGCATCAAGTTGCAGTTTGTGCCAAAATAATAGAAAAGAAGAAGCTAAAGCTGTTTCACAGTTATCAAAATATAATGAGCCAAACTATTCTATTGTTCTTTATATACCAGAAAAAGCTCTGATATATATGAACAATAATTAATGGTAGACTGTCTGAAAATTCATATCAGTGAACTCGTTTGGGTGTAGTTGAAGCAGGCTGTAAACTGTATCCTCCTTATAATACTGTTCGAAATGCAAAAAAGCAAAATGTATGTCAAATAATAAAACAGTATAAGTGTATTTGATTGATCATCTTTTGCTGATCTAGTTCTGTTAGACCATACTGGTGCTTGTCTAGTTTTGCCAAAAAACTGGTTATTTCATGAGCCCAAAAAACTATTTACTACATAAATAAAAAAACTTATACTCCTCCATAAATTTGATTCAGTTTACAAGCAATTATCTAATGATAATAATTCAAGAAATTTTTAACTAGAAAGAAGTTTGGAAAAGAGTTTGTTTCTTACTTATATTTTTCATTTGGAATTGATCAGTTTGATGGGTCACATGTAATTTTAATTATAATTTATATTGTTTAATTTGTTTATTCAACTGCTTTTTAATTTTGTCCATATATTGGTGACTTAAACCAACTAATTAAAAATATATTAAATCTTTTTCCTGTATAAAAAAATTAAAATTATTTCATTTAACCACATTTTATTCTGAATTATTTTCATCTTCATTGTTTTAGTATTTATACAGAAATTTACAATTAGACATAGTAAAACTTTTTTTAAAAGTTGAGACAAAGCACTTTTTTCCTGTTGGGGGATTAATATCTATATTTGCAACAAAATATTCTTTATTTAACTATTTAATAACAAATTAAATTGATTTTTTATTTAAAAAAAACACTTTCAAATCATAGCACATTCTTCAACATTTAACATGCTTGCACAGCCCTCAGAATTAAGTTATCATTTGTCATTTTGTTTTCAATGATATTTAACAGAATTTTCCTAACTTATTTAAGTTTTAAAAGGTTTTTAAATCCTTCTGGCAAAATAATTTTGTAAATTAAAAATTTTAAATACTAAAAAAAATTTACATATAAACAGAAAGCTTCTAAGCTTTTGCATTCTTTTAAATAAATTTAATGTAAAAATGTTAAGAATTGTTGTTATTTACAAAGGCTAAAATACAAATAAATGGTTTTGAAACTTGATTGGTTTGAAATGTATAAGGTCCATTCAGTAAATTTAAAAAATAGTGAATGTTAACTAAAAGTTAAATAATTTTTTTATTTTTATACTGAAGACTTAGTGCAATATCTTTCTTTAGTTTTTAAGATTAGATCTGATTCATCCATATCATTTATATTTGATTTATTCATATCATTCATTTTGTGATTTTCAACATGTTTTTTTTTTTAAAGTTTAAAATTATTTTATTTAATTTTCTAATTATTACTTTTTTTTAGTTACATACATTTTTCATAATGATAGTTAAACATAACATGTTACAACTAAAAATCAAGATAAACTTTGAAAATAAATATCTCTTGAACAAAGTTATCAATTTTTTAAATTTAAAAAGCAAATTAACCAAAAATTCCTATTTTATAAAATAAAATAAAAATTATTTGTTTATATTCAGTCCATTTCGCCGAACATGGTCAACTCTTGTAAAGGTACTCTCCCCAAGCCTATGTACATGATTTTGATTGATTTTTTTCATACAACACTCTATTCGATTTCTTAGTTGACGGAGATTTTTAGCTTGCCATTTGTCTGCATAAACCAATCTTTTAATTTCACCCCAAAAGTCCTTGATTGGGCGCAATTCGAGCATATTAGCAGCGTTTGTCTCTCTGCATATATTTGATATTTTCCCCTTTTAGGTAATCTTGTACTTTGTTTGAATAGTGTGCGTAGGCTAGATCGGGCCTGAATACAATTTTGTTGTTTTTGTAAACCTTCTTGATGAATTTCTTCAATTTAACCAGGCATTTGGAAATGTGCACATCCTTGTCGACTGCTTGACTCAAAGGTGCAATGTAATGCTTTAAGACCCTTTCTCTGACAAGGCTATCCAAACTAATAATTTTGCTTATATTTGCTTTTTCTTTTGAGCTTGACCTCATTAGAAGTTGTGTCGGGATCAAAAGTATAATATCCTACGTTGCCTGAGAGCTGTGTGTTGCACAAAGGAAAATACGATTCGTCGTCAATTATCAAAAAATTTTTCCACAAAAGTGCAACTAATTTTCTGCACTTAGGATGCACAGCAGCTTTCTGAGCCAATGTTCTTTTTGGCACTTTAGTTTTTTTACGATATCGAATGCTAGCTTTTTGTTTATAATTTTGGATATATTCTGCTGGAAAACATTGAATCTTTTGGCTAAGCTATGCTGTGAAACACCATCCTTCTTCACCACCATCAATTTTTTTAGGCGTTTAATCTGTTTCTTAGGCATTTTTTTTTGCAGTCCGACCACTTCCTGACCACTGACCACTTCCAACTTTTCTTTCTGGTCCTGTATTGATCTCCTTTTGTTGCAGTATATTGTATAAGGTTGATTTTATGACATTTTCCATTCAAAAATGATTAACAACAAACATTTTGTTTTTTTCTGGATGCAAATCCAGAAAAGTGTACACTTGTTTATGAAGTAGTTTTTAAATTTTTTAGACATGTTTAATTTTGTTCTGAAAAAAAAAAAAAAATGATATATTGTAAAGGAATAAACAAAATAAGTAGAATTATAAATTTATAGAACATCCTCAGACATATAAATTGAAGCTACAAAGTTTGTATGGATTTTTAGTTGTGGCATGTTAGTTGAATATAAAACCTCAGCATATTGAATAAAATGAGAAAAATCTTTCAAATATAGGTGAAGCAGATAGAATGAAAAAGCAATAGCATGGGCTTTTCTAAAACAAACTGGGCATAGAAGCAAATTGAGAAAAAGAAATAGCCAGAGCCAAAAAAAAATGTTTTCTATACAACTTAATTTAGTTGGTTAGAGCCAAGTGATAAGTTGATACAGATAATTTTTGTTGGTTACAGATGATTTTTGTTGGTTACAGATGATTTTAGTTACAGATGATTTTAGTTACAGATGATTTTAGTTACAGATGATTTTAGTTACAGATGATTTTAGTTACAGATGATTTTAGTTACAGATGATTTTAGTTACAGATGATTTTAGTTACAGATGATTTTAGTTACAGATGATTTTAGTTACAGATGATTTTAGTTACAGATGATTTTAGTTACAGATGATTTTAGTTACAGATGAGCCAAGTAATAATAAGTAGATTTAAATTTTTAGATTTTAAAGTAGTATTTATAAACTTGTTAAAGTAGTATTTAAAACTAGTTTTATAAAAGTATTGTGTTATTTTTCAACAATTTTTGACTCAATTTGTGCCAAACTCTTTTAAAAAATGGCAAAAAAAATTTTCAACTCCTAATGTATGAAAAACAAGTTTTCATCTAAATGACTTAACTTTTTTATAATTCAAGTTATGTTGATTTGTAAGCACCCTTGTTTGTATTTGTTTTCATTTTCTCATAGCAAATTTGTTTCTGTTAAAACTTTTAATTGTGGAATGTTAAGATTACTTGTGGTGTTAATTTGAATAATTGACACTAGCAGACATTTTTTTTAAAGATAGTGAATCATGCAGGAATTGAATCTATGATAATAAATCAAGTATGCAAACAAATTCTCATTTCATGTTGTTCAACAATTATACACAACACTTTATTTCTCTGATAAGTCAGTTAATAGTTAAAGAAAAATTATAAAATTGAGCTTATAAGTTAGAGGAAATTTTTTTTGAAGTATTTTGTAAGAACCATACGCATCATTCAAAATATTTTATTTAAAGATTTTCATAAATTTTAAATACGCTATATTAAAAATTAAAAACGCTATTTTTCTTTTAGAATGTGACCTTAGGAAATATGCGAGAGAAAAATACAAAATCTTTGTCAAGTGCAACTGTTACATCTAAAAATATTGAAACAGATCCACTCTCAGATCTACTTTTTGATCCACTCTCTGCATTATTACAAAAAGATGCTTCTTTATTAAATAGCAGCCAAAAATTTAAGGTAACATATTTGTTTAGTCTATTTCACATTATTTCTTTTTAGATAAGTTACACTAAAGATACTTTGTTATTTTTCGTTAGTAAAATATTTAATAGACGAAACATATAGAAAGTTATTTTAGATTATGGTAAGATTTAAATTTTTACCAAAAAAAAATCTTTGAGAGTTAAGTATAGTTATAGCTATTCTGCTCAAGACCAAGAAGAGTTAAGTATAGTTATAAGTACTTTGAGAGTTAAGTATAGTTATAAGTACTTTGAGAGTTAAGTATAGTTATAGCTATTCTGCTCAAGAACATTTTTTTTTTTTTTTTTTTTTTTTTTTTTTTTTTAACATCTTCACTTCCAACAAGGCTGCAAGCAACCACTATAAGAGTTGGAAGTTACTGGAAGAGAAAAGACTAAATCTGTAGAGCAAGATAACGATTGACTGATGACTTAAACGATTGCAAATTATATGAATCAGGAAAGCAAGATGAAGGAAGCGAATTCCAAAGAACTGATGTTCGAGGAAAAAAACTAGAAGAATAAGAGTTTTTGAAGCACTTAGGAACAGTCACAGAAAAAGGATGAGACTTAATTGAATGGCGAGTAACACGAGAGTGAATTTTAGTAGATGGCACAAGGGACGCTAGCTCTTTAGAGCAGTGCCCATTATAGTATTTGTAGAAAAGAGAAAGAGAAGCAACATTACGACGATGTGACAAAGGTTGGAGATTGGCTGCAAGAGCAGGTCCAACTATGTTTACAATTCGTTTTTGCACCTTGTCTAAAAGAGAAAGAGCATCATTAGAAGATCCGCCCCAGATGTGGCAACAGTATTCCATACAGGGACGGATTTGAGATTTATAGAGATAGAGAATAGAATCTGGAGTAAGAAAGTGTCGAGCTTGATAAATAGATGCAACCTTAGCAGATGCTAATTTTGCAATGGATTTGATATACGGTTTAAAAGAAAGATCAGAAGTAAGAGTTAATCTAGAAGATGAATGGTAGATGACTCATCTAGTACATTACCATTATTTAGCAGAATTTTTGAAAAAAGTGTTTTTTAATTTTTTTATTTTAATTCACTCCCAATAAGACTGCAAGCAATCACTATTAAGTTGGTTATTACTAGGAAAAAAAAGAATATAGTTATAGAGCTAGAAAACGGTTGACTAAAGACTTGAAAAGATGTAGGTGGTATGAGTCAGGAAAACATGAAGTTGGGATAGAGTTTAGGGTGTGGTGGTTCTAAACAACCTATGCAGGATTTTATTTAAAAAATCTATATATGTGGGATTTTACCATACATGGTGGATGTGAAGATATATATATATATATATATATATATATATATATATATATATATATATATATATATATATATATATATATATATATATATATATATATATATATATATATATATATATACATATATATATATATATATATATATATATATATATATATATATATATATATATGTATATATATATATATATATATATATACATATATATATATATATATATATATATATATATATATATATATATATATATATATATATATATATATATATATATGTATATATATATGTATATATATATATATATATATGTATATATATATATATATATGTATATATATATATATATATATATATATATATATATATATATATATATACATATATCTGTGTGTGTGTGTGTGTGTGTGTGTGTATATATATATTATTTATAATATCACCAAAAAACTGACCTTATTCAAATAAATCATCAATACGCACCAATAAGATGAAGTTTATAGTACAAACCAACAAGTTGAGGTTTGTAATACTTCAAAACTAAAAGTGGTAACACCATGCTGCAGTGACTGTTTTTGTTTTGATTTCCTTAAAATACAACTTTGCTGCTAAGTTATGATAACCAAATACAATTTGTATTTAATTGTTTTAATAATAACCATTAACACAAAATAAAAAATTTAAGATTTTAGTTTTATTATGTAATGTTCTTGTATAAATTGTTTTAGGTTTTATATAAAAAAAATGTAAAAGAAAATTTTTTTTTTGAAAAATGAGAACTTGTTTTTTATAGATAGTTTACGCTATTGTTTGATCCTGCATTTTAACGAGCATTTTTGCAGAGCACAAACACACAACAGCGCTCTAAAAATGGTCCCATAATTGACATACTTTAAAAAGTTTTTATGTTGTAGTTTTATTTAGTAGTTAATTGAAAAGTATTTCATATTTTTCTGATTTCTGAAAATGATTTATTAATTGTTTTTTTATTTCAAAAATAAAACAAAATTAAAAAAAAAATTAAAAAAAACTTTAAAAGTAATTGAACCTTTAATTTATTAAATATTAAAAATGTATGCAATTCAATAAGTTATATTAATTGATAGTGGGAATTAATTTTATGGTTAATTAATTGTATTTGATATGTAAAAATACTTGGGAAAATTGGCTATTTAAATTAAAAAAAAAATTAAATGATTTAAGTAGAAAACTGGTAATAAGATCTTTTTTCTTATAATATTTCAATAAAGATTCAAAAAAAGGGCTTAAAAGGTATTTTATTTAGTTTTTATGTTCATTTATAATTCTAAACATAAATTTTATTAAATTAAAACTTTAATTGTGTAATTTAAATTGCATGTGTATTAATATGTGGTTTAGCATTTTGCAATTTTTTTTCCCTGAAAAATTGATTCAGCAGGTACTTGGAGCCAATTACATATGAGCTATCTAGTCACTGTAATCCAGTTGACTTTTTAATTTCAAAAACATCGGACCATATTAGTATTCAATAACTCTAAACATTAGATAACATAGATGGTTCAAATAAACTTTGGCAAAAGACCGGCAACAGGACGAAAGGTAAGTTTTATATCTTGTACCCATCTAATTTAATCAAGCTTTGTAAAGAATACAGTATCCAGAAGTTATAAATGCAATATTGATAATGAACTAGGTAAAACAGTTCGTACCTTGAAATGAAAATGCTATTGCCATTTTGCAACCTTATTTGGGACATGGAAACATTTAATTCCTGTTAAAACTTCTCATAACAGTAGATCCAATACTTAATGAACACTTAAGGCAGCTATCAGCCAGCAAAAAGACATAAGTTTAGTGCAAAAACATAAGTTTAATGAAAAATCTAATACAGTTGGCAAGGGATCAAAAATAACTTGCTTAGTAAACACATCTTTGATGCACTACTGAAAGTTTACAGTACTGAAATACAAAAGCAAATTATCAGCTTAATAAATAAAATGATGCTTTTAGTATACAAGCTGATTTAACAACAGATGTAGCTCTGTGCAACCAGATGTGTCTTTTAATTTGTACCATTCAGAAGCAACACCAAGTACCAAATGATGGTTAGTTTTTTTGCATTCTGTTACACAATATCATTGTAGAGATGTTGATTGATGTGTGTGAAATCACTCGTGGATGAGGAACACATTAATTTACAGGTATATCTAATATGTTAGACAAATCAAAACTTGATTGGAAAGCAAATTGCGTTGTGCACTGTTTCAATGATGCACCAGTGATGACAAAGTTTGCTGACCATTTTTGTAAAGCTACTCAAAATGTGAATCAACACATATGATGTCATTCTCATCGTCTTAACTTTGGTGTTGTTGACCATTGCAGCTTCATTGATCATCCCTCCGTTCAGCAGCTGTTCTCTTTGCTTTAAAACCTATTTAACTTTGTAAATGTAGGTTACATGAGATGCACAGTATTTGTGAATTCAGTCAATGGAAGCAAGCATAATCATGGTGGTAGTAGAAAGCTCGCTAAGTTCCTTACACTTAAGTGGCAAGGAAGATGTAAAGCTAGTTACAGCATCTTCCTTACACATAAGATGGAAAGGAAGATGCTGTAACTAGTTTGATAGGATGATGTCTCACATGGATGAGTTAATGGCAATAATACAGTTTTGAGATTTTTTCAATGTAAATCAATTAATTTCTATAACCCTGTTAAAATTGGAAGAAACTAGAAAAAAATTTGACCACTTCTGGAGATATGCTGATTCATATTGCAAGGTAAAATACATTGGGAATGAGGCTCAAGCTTAACAGATAGAGCGAGCCCATCTATGTTTACAATGCATTTATTTACCTTGTCTAGAAGGGAAAGAGCATAATTAGAAGAACCAGCACAAATATGACAACAGTAGTAGAACCAGCACAAATATGACAACAGTAGTAGAACCAGCACAAATATGACAACAGTAGAAGAACCAGCACAAATATGACAACAGTAGAAGAACCAGCACAAATATGACAACAGTATTCCATTCAGGAATGAATAAGAGATTTGTAGAGGTAGACTGTAATCAGGAATAAGAAAATGGTGAGCATGGTAATAAGATTTTTATATCTGAACCTTTTATATCTTGTTTGATTATTATAGATTTTTAATCTGAGCCTAATTTTGAAATAATTTTGATTATAGATTATTGTAATTTTGGTTATAGGTTATTGTAGTATATTAGATTATGTTAGATATTTAGTTAAGTTTAAGTTATTTTAGTCTATTTATTGTTAATTTCATAATAATAAATTTTAAATTAAAATTTAACTTGATTGCAATAATATATTATAATTTCTTTTTACATATTATTTTTTATTTTTATTTGGTTTGCTCTCATTTTTATTTATCAAAAAATTTTAATTTTTTTTCTAAACAATAAGGTAAAACATTTTTTTTTAATTTACGTAATTAGGATTCATCCATAATTAACCATTTCTATTGAATTGCAATTTAAATATTTAAAGAAAAGTAATTAAAAATGTTATTATCAGAAAGCAGCAAATATAGGATTTTTTTGTGCTTTTTTAAAAAAATAATTTTTGAAAAAGTCCTGAAAATAAAAAAAATAATTTTGTTGAAATTGTCATCAAATAGGATGAGGACAAAAAGTTTGGGAATGAAGATGGATACATTGATGATTCTTTTGAGCCCTGGCAGGCTAAAAGAACTGGCATTCTTTCCAAGTACACAACATCAGAAAAAATTTCAATAACCTCAGTAAGTTGTTATTTTTCTTAATTATGTTTAATAATTTATACTTATCAGGAATGCCAAGTCCTAATGATTTTTAGGACTCTGAGACTTGATTTAGGGTTTAAAAATGATGAATTTTGTAGACATCAAGCTCCTAATTTTTTTTAATGTATCAGGCTTTTAAAGAAGACGCATGCATTTGTATAGCTTGCCTGACCATGTCTATATGCTTTGTTTTGACAACTTATTTATGTAATTAATTTGTCTTCTTAAAACTCTCTTTCAATTGATTCAAGTTGGTTCTGCGCTTATTCTGTTAAAAAACTTAACAATATATTTTATCTAATTGACACAGTAATAATATATCAGATCTCTTTTTGGTTATAGGCAATCTTTTTGCTTCATTTTCAGAATCTAAGTTAAACAAATAAACATCAAAAGTGTTAGTTAATATTTATTTGTTCATGTTTTCAAGTTTGACAATTCGAATTTTATTACCCAATTAAATGAGTTTGTATTTTTTAAATGCTTTCATTTGCATTTATCTATAGAAATTTCTACAATAGTTAATTATGTTTATATAAAATATGTATATACATTTGTATAACATATATTTATATAAATAACATGACAATAGTTTTGACATTGCATGTTGTCTGACAACATGCAATGTCTAAACTATTTTCATGTTATTTATATAAATATGTTATACAAATGTATGCATGTCATCCTTGTATGTTATACAAATGTCAGCATGCAACCTTGTAAAATATTTACATATACAGCTGCAAAAAAAAGAGTATTTAATTGATTGACATTAAGCAACGCTCTCATTTTATTGAGTTTATCAATAGCAGGTTGATTAATGTTCTTTTCTACTTGATCAAGATCAAATGCAAAAAATCGCTAAATGTTTAAAATTTTCAGTATTGAATTGAATGCTGACAAACCAAATGGCTTTTCATTTTACTGTCCTATAAGGTGGCTTTCAAGTAGTGATGTTTTTTATAGGCTTGTAGAACTTTTAAATTAAATCTTTTTTAATAGCAAGGCATTTGAAATTCGCAATGATGTTTTTGATGCAACTGATGCAACATTTATAAAATCTGAATTTTGATCATGAATCATACTGGGAAAATCTATAGAATTTATTAGAAGAAAAATTCAGGTTTAAAAATTTGTAAATCAGCATTTAGCATTTATAGTAAATCTATTTTAATTGATGCTATTAGTGATAGTTGTCCAATTCCAGGAAACATGATTGAGGAAATGTCACACTTTAAAAAAGAATTGTTATTTATTTATTTACTTATTTACACTGCATGGGTAAAATCCTCCTGCAGCGAAACGTAAGTGGAAGTTCTCCTATTAGCAGCTAAAGCTTATAATGTTGGCTATTGGTAATTGCAATATTAATGTCTATTTTTCTTTTCTGTCAAAGTTGTTCTTGAAACTACTTCAAATTTTTTTAAATATTCTAAATTAAATTTAAATCATCTAAATTATTCCATTGATTGACCACTCTGTTGATGAAAATTTTTGTGTCTCTGACACAGTTTTTGACAATTTCACAATGTAAAGGTTTATGAAATCCTTGTTGTGGAACAATAACTTTTGGTTGAGCGTACTAGTTAACATGACCTAAATTATTCAGAAGTTTGTTGTATGCAGTCTGCGTATACTGTTGTATGCAGTCTGTGTATGCTCTTCTGTCTTTTAAAGTAGCAAGCTTAAGAATTTGTTATATATTTTCATAATTGTAATAAATTCATAATGCTTAAGTCAGTCAAATGTTTTTCTAACATCATGTAACATGTTCATAAACACCTTCAATAATCATATTGCATACAACCTAGGTTGTGTTTTAATCTCCTAGAAGATCAAAATCTTCTAATGCTGCATAAAACACTAACTCTAACTAACTCTAACTAGCTCTAACTAGCATAAAACACTAATTCTTGGATTTTTGATAGTTCCTAAATATATTCCTAAATTTTGATTTAACGTATGAATCTTTATTTTCCACTATGAAGTTGGTCAAATCAAAGTATCATGCCAATGATACTTTGATTTAACCTTAGTTTGGAAATATGAACATTTTTTCATAGTTTTTAACTATAAACATTTTTTAGAGAAAATTATCAGTAAAGTTCAGAATCTCAATGTTTTAGTTTAGAAGTTTTAATAAATGTCCAAGTAATTATACAAGGAGAATTTTCTAAAGGTCTTTCAAAAAACAATTGGCGTTATAGAAATAATTCTTTCTGTTATGTTATGAATGATGAAAGTTTTTTTTTTTTTTAAAAATAAAAGTAATTTAAACTTTATTTTATTTTTATTTTGAACATTATTGACATTCATTAACATAATTGATATTCATCAAAACAAACTATTTTGATGTTAACTGATACTCATCAAAAAAAATTGTTTTTTTTTTATTTTGTAGTGATTTTTTTATTTGGTATTTCATATTTTTTCAGAGTCATTCTATATTAAATTATCCAAAAAAAGTAAATTTTGTCAACCATACTCAAAATGTCTTAGAATTATTTTATTTTTACATTATTTGCACTGCATACTGAATTCTAAATGATTACTGTAAAACTATTAGCTAAAAACATACATGGGTTATTGAGATATCGTCAATAAAGCAACTTTAAACATATCTTGATAATTGGGAGAAAAATTTTGAGCCTATATAGATTTTTGCTCAAGAAATTTAAAAATACTACTCTAAGGACTTGACAGTTCTAAGAACTGCCTCATTTAATTTAATTCAAAATTGTTGATTTTTGGAATTAATGACTTTTTGGAATTAAAATGGAAGCTGTCACCCCAAATTCCTGGAAAATATATTGATTTTATATCATTAATTTGACTAATAACACTTTACTGAAACAGTTTACTAAAAAAGTTGTTTTTTACTGAAAAAAATTCTGTAATATATGATCAAAGTTCTCTTTTATGTTCTTATGTTTTTTGTTCTTTTACTTTTTTTAGTTAAATGTTACTTCCTTATCTTTAATTGTGTTGATAAACTTTTGTTTACAAATCAATAATTTGCAAAATATCTAGCAAAAAAAATATAAAAAGGTACATAAATCACGTTCTTATTTCAAAAAAGTACTTAAAAATGCTGGAATTAAAACATTTCATAAAAAAAATACAAGTAAGATAAGCTTAAATTGTGAAACTTAAAAATGATGGAATTAAAACATTTTATAAAAAAAAATACAACTAAGAGAAGCTTAAATTGTGAAATTAAAAGAATTCGACACGTAAAGAAGTTGGTTAAAATAATGGCGGATAAAAGTACTTGCATAATTGAAGACTACGAAACATACAGCAAGGTGGATTTTTGACTGGTCAACAATTTTATTATGAGAACAAAGATAAACCTGTTGTTGATCAATTTAAATATATTCAACAATAAAAATTTGCATCCAAGTTCCTTGTGTGGCAAGCAATTTGTAGATGTAGTATGCAGTCTTATTTTTTTAGTCTTAGTTCTTATTTTGTCACTAAGAAGACCTTGACTGCCAATCTCTACATCAAAGAATGCTTCTGAAAAAGACTTTTCCCATTTATGAAAAAACACAAATACTGATGTCTCTATTGGCCAGATCTTGCTGCTTCTCACTAAAAACTTCTCACTTCTAAAAAAGTTCTACAGTGGTGCAAAAATAATAATGTGAAAATTGTTTGTAAAGATGTAAATCCTTCAATCCATCTTGAAAAGCGCAAGATTGAAGATTTTTTGGTAATAGTTAAAGGAATTTTTTGTGGAATAACATTTTAAACCACCACCATTAAAGTGAAAAAAGTAAAAATCAGTGAAATGATGGCCGCTATAAAACCCGCTATAAAATTTGATCTCTTAACAAATAGCTCATCAAGCCCCTTAAAATTAAGTTGAAACCCTAAGAAATATAAACACATTTAATAAATTTTTTTTTTTTTTTTATAAAAAACGTTTATCGTTTCGGAGAAATCTCAAATTAAAGTTGACCGGATTTTTCTGTGTCCACCCAATATATCTTCTTAAATCTTTTAAAAAAAAGCTGTGTCATGGTTAATGTCTTGTGAAAGGTAACAAAAAGATTTTTGTTTGAGAAAAAAATATTAACAAATCTTTTTTTCCTGGCATCATTCTTAAAAACTCATTTTGATAAATGTTAATTACTAACTGGGGTGTTTCTGGTGAAATAAGGTTTCCAATTTTACCGGCAATGATAAAATCCCTTGCTCAATTTAAACATATTTTGAAATTCAAACATTCCTCCTTTGAACTAAAATCTTAACCAGTTTCTACTGCATTTTTTTAACATTCACTGCAGAAGTAGCATTACATTTACTTTACTTTTTTGTTTTTCCTTAGTATAGAGAAATCTTTACATTGCCTTAAAAAACAAATTTAAATAAATTTTTAAAATTAACTTAAAATTTAATCATGAATCTCGATAAAATGAATTTCTTTTAATTAACATATTAACTACAATTAATATTAGATTTTATTTTATAGCATTTTACTTTTTCCTTGTGTGTTCCAAAAGGGCTGCAACACAATTATGATTTTTCTTGCAAAATATTTTCCATATCATGATAATGGCATATAGGTCTTTTAAATTTGCTCACCACATTATTTCTTCCTGTTGTTGACAAGAAAAATCTTTGAGTTGAATAAAACCTTGTTTTCTAAAAAATCCAGTATTGTGGCAATGAATGTTGAGAATTTTTTTAATGTTGCATTTTTCCATATTCAATATATTTATTGTTTATAACATCACTAGCTCAAAGAATTACTAAACAATAAAATTCTTGTATGTGTTATATGATTTTTAAAGACAATATTGACTCAAACTTCCAAAACACCATAGTGTTTATTCCAAAAATATTCTAAAGTTGAAATAAATTATGAAAATTAATTCAAATGCAACAAAACAATTTACTGAGTTTCAAATACAAATAAAACAATTTTAAAACTAAAAAACATTTTTTTTTTCATTGTATGTCTAAATTTTATTTTAGTAATAATTTTTCACTGCAAATTCATTTTTATGTAATAAAAAATATTTGGGGAGGGGGAGAGGTTTGCCTCTTCTTGCCCTCTTTGTATTCCTATGTCCTAAACTGGTTATTAAATAGCACTATTTTTAAGATTTGATTAATAAATCTCCTCCATTACAAAATTTAAGTTTGTTCAAAAATCTAAAAAACGATGTTGTTTTTGAGTGCTTAAAATATGAAATAATAATCTAATTTTATTCTGTGAACCGTAAATAAAGTAATGATATCAAATTAACATTTTTTTAGTAGTTTTAGGTGACAGCATCCATTTTAGCTCCAAAACTCAATAATTTACATCCATTTTAGCTCCAAAACTCAATAATTTACCTCCATTTTAGCTCCAAAACTCAATAATTTACAAGTTAAAAATTTTTAATTAAATTAGATAAATTTCTTGAAACTATTAAACCTTTAGAATAATATTTCTTGAGCAAAAAATTTGTAATCAAAATGTTAAGAAAATTCTCTAAAACATTATTAAGATAATATATGTCAAAGTTGCTTTGTTGTTTTTTTCAGATAAAAAAATGATCTTTTAGTAATTTAGATAAAAAATGATTCTTTTTTTAATTTAGATAAAAAAAAATCCTTTAGTAACTTAGATAAAAAAATGATTTTTTAGTAATTTAGATATAAAATATTCCTTTAGTAATTTAGATAAAAAAATAATCCTTTAGTAATTTAGATAAAAAATGATCCTTTAGTAATTTAGATGTTAATTTTTTTTAAAAAGTTTATAATCTGCATTTCTTTTGTTTTCTTTTGTTTTCTCAAATTTTTCTATAAATAGTTTTCTAGTGGAAATAAAAAATGGATTGGGTTTGATGTAACCAAGTATATATTTAAAAATTATTTTTTGCTTTCTCTTTTTCTTTTTTCTTTTTTTAACAAAAACTGAATATTAAACATAAATTTTGTAAATAATTTGTTCATTTATAACGTAAAATTAAAGAAAATTATCTAAATTTCACTAAATTAAAAAAAAAAATGTTTCCATTGCATGATATTTATTGTGGCTTTTGGGGTTATGTTAGAATTTTTATGCAGCTCTGGTTAAAAAAATCTGGCCATGAGTTAGATATTAGACTTTTATTCTATTTCAATCATACAAATGTTAAAATTAATTTAAATTATAATTAATCTTTTGTAATTTTTATTATTTTAATTTAACTTAAAGTGCATTTAATATAATAATTGAATATAATAATTTTATAATAATTTAATTTTATAATTTTATATATTAATTTAATTTAATATAATATATTTAAATAAATTATAATAAATTATAAAATTTATTGGTTAATTTAATACTTACACAGATTTAAAAGTAAAAACATTAAAATCAGTTGTATTGGTACAGTTGAAGCAGGGCTGGTGACACCAAGGCTCTACGGAGCATGCCCTCCCCACACTTTTTTATTGAAATTTTTTTTTAAGAAATCGGCCGAGAATTTGAGGATTTTTTCAAAATAACAAAGTATGCCCCTTTCATTCCCCCTCACTTTGAAAACCGTGTTGTCGGTCCTGTTAAATAATAGCAAATTATCTAATATCATAATAATAAATAACAAATAATATAGAGAATATTTGTATAGAACGTCTTATTAATAAGAAACAAATAATATAGTCATCAGTAATGGTAAGTGATTGGATACACAGAATGTTGTTTCAGCATTTACATAAGTCACAACCATTAGTACTGACAGTTAAGAAGAGGCAGGTTTCTGTTCAAAAATACAAGCCTTTGCACTCGTTCGGCAGTTAACCGGCAGATAAGCCCCGCAGTACTAAATCGGAAAACACAGTACATAGAGGCATCCCTAAATATTTATGTGCTAGTTTTTTCATATTCAGAAATTCGAATTTCGTCCAGTAATATTGTTTTTGTGTCTTGTGAGTAGAGATTCTTTCAAGTACACTGCTACTTTGTCTGACATAGTGCAATATGCAGTATGTATCTAAAATATATATAAAAAAAATTTTTTCTGATATTATTCACCTTCCCAAGGCCAAGGGGGCCACTTCAATTGAGGAGGCTACTCATTTTTTTTTGAAATTACTATGTGTTCTTAATTGTGGTTACAACCCTCTCTTTAAATTCTTTAAATCTGAGACGCGGACGAGTAAGGCTGCTACGCGGAGAAACCTAGTCAAATATTTTGCAATATTTAAAGTACAATAATAATATAGTAGCACACACAATACTTATTACAGAATTTGTGTTGATTAACTGGTTATATAATGACCAGACAGCACTTGGAGCAGGTGTGGCTTGTTCTTGATTTTTAGCAAATTTGATTTCATGACCTTCGCCTATGTCCAGTACATTCAACTCATCGATCAATAAAGTAACAACTTTCTCAGCCATCATCCTACTCCTAAAAATCTTATTTTTAAATCTGGGATCTAGTATTGTTGCAAAAGCATATATAGGTTCGTTTTTGCAGTCTCCGTGACAACAATGCAAAGGTTCACCCAGAGATTCTTTGAAATTTGCGTAGTCCTTGATGCAATTAAGTGACATGTTAACTGCATTTATTATTGGGATATCTTCTAATGTGGTCACTTTTGATAAACTAGCAGTAAGCATGGCATCTTCAAAAACATTTAAAACAGCAACGAGAGGAACCAAACTGTCCCATTCTTTAGTTGACAATTCTTTGTTTTGTCAATCGGCTTTTAGGAAATGTTGCGTTACCAACAGAATTGCATCTTTTTGTTCAATTAAATGGTTCAGCATGTGGAAGGTACTATTCCATCTAGTTGGCTCATCATGAATGATGCTGTGTTTAGAAAGTCCCAAAACCTCCTGAGATTGTCTCAAAAGTTTGTACAATTTAACCAAATGTTTAAAGTTTAAATTATTCTTCTACATGTTTGTTTTTTTATTTTTTTATTTTACTTCACCTCCTCAAGGCCAAGAAGGCCACTACAGACGAGGAGGCTACTTATTTTGTGGCTATAACCTTCTCTCAACTCTATAACTCCGAAACACGAACCTTGACAAACAAGGCCGCTGCACAGAGAAACAAGTTGAGCGCGGTACTACCAGGGACTCGGAACCACTCGTTTATGAAGCGAGCGCTCTACCACTACACCACTACCGCATATGTAGTACATGTAGCAGTTTGTAAAGATATGTGTTCATTGTCAAGACAGCCATCTTTTACAACCAACTGTAGTGTATGGGCGAGACAAGGAATGTTTGAAATCTTTCCTACTTCCATAGCAGAGACAATATTTCTGGCATAATCTCTTATTATATAAAATCTTTTGCATATAAAATTTGCAGAATGGTCACACACGAGCAGTGAGCGCCTGAGAGAAGAAATGAAGTACATTGAAATAAAGGAGAATTGTTTATTAGACAAAGCATATTTTGACAGTTGTCAAGATAAAAAAAAAGATTAATAGAGGAATATTCAAAAATAAATAAGACAGGCCATACACCCAAAACAGTATTCAACAATAATTACAATAAAAATAAATAAATAGAAAAATTTTGTTTTATAAACACCAACATGAACGAAGATATACAACAAATACATCACCAGGCATAAACTTAAAAAAAAAAAACCCGATCACAAAATAAAAATATGCTAACAACAATGAAAGGCCTAATAATGGAAAAATATGTTTACACATTAATGCTAATGTGTAAACATAATTTGTGTAGTGATTAAGTAATAAACATCTCCTCAGAGTTGCGTCTATTATTACTGGCGTTTTGATGAGGATCAGCATTTATAACTAGTTTATCCCGTCAGGCAAACGTCATCGCCACTTATGCTTTACCCCGCAACTAATTAATTATCTTTTACTACTACATTGAGTTTTTCAAGTAGTCCCCAATGCTCAAGTGGTTCATTCATAAATTTAACAAGATTATCTGTAGTGTGAGACTCGTAAGGAAAAGGTACCATGTCAAGATAAATGTGAATTTGTTTTATATCTTCTTTGAGGAAATTTGATCTTAGGCTCATGTAATCAAAATTATCTGTGGAGTACCGCATGTTCGTAGTACTAACAAGATCAGCTTTCTTTGCCAAGAAACGAATTTTACTTGATACCTTCTGATAAATGTTAGGAGTTTCAATAGTCAAAAAGAATTTTCTGTTAGGTATTGTATATTTTGGCTCCAAAATCTGTAGATTTTGAAACCAGGATTTTCTACTATACTAACATGTTGGTTATCTGTGCATATCATTTCAGCAATAAGCCTTGTAATTTTTATTGCCTTCAGATCTGTAAATGTGAGAGGCTTGGTCTTTGCAAACACTTATATATATATATATATATATATATATATATATATATATATATATATATATATATATATATATATATATATATATATATATATATATATATATATATATATATATATATATATATGTATATATATATATATATATATATATATATTTATATATATTTATATATATTTATATATATATATATATATATATATATATATATATATATATATTTATATATATATAATTTATATTGAAATTTTTTTTTTGTTTAAAGTAGATTGCTTTTTATTCCTTTATATTGCTATTTGATTTTGTGAAATGATAACTTGAAATCATTTAGAGCTTTTTGTCAGATGGAGAAGTTGAAAAATGTAAGTTGCTAACTATTTATACAGTTATGATGTTTTTAACAACTTTTGTTATTTTAATTTTATATTTCTTCTTATTTTTTTATTTTTTATTTAATGTTGATTCACCTTTCCGAAGTTGAGAAAGGCCACTGCAGCTGAGGAGGCTACTTTAGTTGTTATAACCCTCTCTCAACTGTAGAACTCTGAAACATGAACCTTGACAAACAAGGCCGCTGTGCGGAGAAACAAGCTAAGCGCAGTACTACCACATGGTGGAGATCAAACTCTGAACTTCTCCTTTATGAGGCAAGCGCTCTACCACTACACTACTACTGTTATACTAATAATAAAGTGTAATAAGTTATCTGTGATCTGGGTACTAACTACTTAAATCTTAATTTTATGATGCTAATAAATATAATTGAATGTTTTAAATAAATGTTGAATTTTTCAAATTTCAAGAGACAAATTTCTCTGATAATTTCTCTGACAAGTTTTCAAACTTTAAAAACTTTGAACTAAAACAATAACATTTACTGTAAAATAGTTCACTAAGCAGTTCACTAAGAAGTCCACTAAGAAGTTCAATAAGAAGTTCACTAAGAAGTTCACTAAGAAGTAGGAGCCTTTTAGTTAGTCTAGAACTGATTTCATAAAAATTGAGTTTTTGTCTAATTGAGTTTTATGTTATTTTAGTATAATTCTATATTATTCAAATATCTTCTATATTAATCTAATTTTCATTTTCCATTTTGATGTTTTTCCAAATATTTTTCTAGTAAATATTTTTTTGATGTGATTTTAAAATTTCATTTTGACACCATGTTAATCATGCAATACTCAGACTATGCAGTTAAGCATGTTATACTTTTGATACTCTCTAGTTGAGCATATAATACATTTAAAACTATGCATTTGAGCATGCAATACTTTTAAAACTATGCATTTGAGCATGCAATACTTTTAAAACTATGCATTTCAATACTTTTAATTTTATTACTTTTAAATTTATTATGCACAATTTTTTTACTCATGGTAATAATAATTCCGATTTGCTGGTATAGAATGTTATTTAAATGTAATTTCAACTAATTTTTTATTATTACTATATACTTACTCAGACTTGGTCGGGAAGCGGGTGCGATCGCACTCGATAATTGACCACGGAAATAAAATTTAGTTGCGAAAAACTGGCCAGATTTTTTAGTCGTTTTGAGAACATTTCAAAAACAAACAAAAAAGCGCAATAAGATTAACTGGACCGATTAAAAAGAGACAGTTAAAAAAAGAAAAATTGCTTTTAACGCGAAAAAACTTTAAGCAAAATAAATTTATTAGAGCAATTATTTTTAAAACGTCGCTCTTTTATAATTTTTTTTATAAAATTAAGTGACATTTTTTATTTAAAGTAACAACTATAAAGAAACAAATGTTCTTCGATTTATCAAAGAGTATATATAATTTTTATTTATATACTTATGTCTTATTTCCAGTTGCGGATTGAGAAGGTGAGGTGGGGGTAGTAGGGCTAATCCCGGGACTCACAAAGTTAGGGGAAATAGTCAAGAGAACCATTCGGTATTTTTTTAGTCATTTTTACGCTGTGGCACATAAAAAAGGCCGCCAAAATAATGCAGACCTCCACCCTGAAAAGTCCAACAAGATTCAACCAATAAAATTAACGCTAGATGATTTATTAATAAATAAAAAAGTTTTTTCAATAACTGTTTTATGCTTCGCGTAGTTTAAAAAGTTTAACACATTTGAAACAATTCTTCTTAGTAAGATGAACGAATGAAATAATTAAATCATTGAGTTAGGGGAGACCGGGGCTAGTTGGCCGCAGGGGTAAGTTGACGAATTGCGTTTATCTTTAAAGCCTTTCATCAGAAAGTGATAAAAATTACACAGAATCTTCCTAATTGACTGTTTCATCATTCAATGTAGTATTGTCAGGATTCGCGCATGCGCATGGGAGATATTAAGATTTAAGTGTTTTTTGGACAAAAACGTAACTTTTGAAACATCGCTTCCTTTTTACTTTACAAAGAAAATAGTTAGTCAAATGGAAAAAAAATTATTGTAAAAGTTCTAGCCACAATTGGTTTACTATATTCAGTTTGACTTTTTTTAAAAGTTGCCGTTTTTCAGGATCTATAGACTGTTTATTGAAAAAAAAGCCTTCGGGGTAAGTTGACAAAATTTTTACGGGGTAAGTTGGCTCATAGCATTTACTATGGAGAAAAATATTTATTTTTATAAAAATAATTTTTTTAATTTTTTTAATTTTTAACAATATTGAAAAAACTTATTCTTACAAAAAAATTATAAAAATTTTTTTTTTTAGGTTTTTTGTAACAGGTAAAAAGAGGGCTGCTGTTTTGGCTGTTATACGTACTAATATTTAGCACAAGCTAAAAATAATATCAAATTATTAGCTTAAATTGTTGCCAAAATTAATAGGTAAAAAATTTCTATTAATTTTGCACTTAATAGTACATTAATAATCACGTTTATAGTTTGCGTCAACTTACCCCGTGGTGGGGTAAGTTGGCGCAATTTTTTTTTTTTTTTTGAGGGCCCCGTAAGGCCCCAAGAATTTTTTTTTGTAAATCCATGAAACTTTTTTAAGTTACCCAAGTTCATACGCTTTGAGACTACACTTTAATATTTTCAAAAAAGTGTGCTATTAGGGCTACAGAGCTCATAGAGTAAAAACCGAGCCAACTAGCCCCGGTCTCCCCTACTGTAGAAATTCAATTAGCTAGATAGAAATTAACTAAAAACGTTAAATTACTTTGTGAGGAGGAAGCGGAACTGCTTCACAGTAACGCTGTTGATGTTTAGTGAGTGGGCTTTATAATTTTAATTAGTATAACGAGTTTGAAAGAATGGCTGAAGCAAAAATAATTGAAGTTAGTTAACCAATTTCTAAGAACTTAAAAACTTTTCTTAATAATAGTTCGTTTGATAGTATATTCTTAAAATAATTTATGCTAGAAATCTCACGAAAGCGTAACAAAATTCAAATAATACAATTTTTAAAAATATTTTAACAGAGTACTCAGGACATTCGGATAGTATTTTTTGAATACTCTAAAAATTTCGGTTAGTATTTTTTGAAAGAATTAGTTGTTCGTAGATTTGGCGGGTTTTTTGTGTTAGCGAATATTATTTTTTTATTTTACCGCACTAAGATGGTTGAGAACATTCAAGTTTATGTATGTTTCCATGTAAGTCCATAAAACAAGATTGAACTTATTATTTTGCGGAAAAACAAGGAAACATACATAAACTTAAATGTTCTTAAAAGGACTAAAAAATCTGGCCGGTTTTTCGCAACTAAATATTATTTCCGTGGTCAGTTATCAAGTGCGATCGCATCCGCTTCCTGACCAAGCCTGCTTACTGTGTATAGTTTATTACTACTTACTTACCATGTATACTGTTAGTTTATTTTTTTATTTATTTTTTTTATTTTACTTCACCTCCTCAAGGCCGAGAAGGCCACTACAGACGAGGAGGCTACTTATTTTGTGGCTATAACCCTCTCTCGACTCTATAACTCCGAAACACGAACCTTGACGAACAAGGCCGCTGCGCGGAGAAACGAGTTGAGCGCGGTACTGCTAGGGACGTGGTGGGGATCGAACTCGCAACCACTCGTTTATGAAGCGAGCGCTCTACCACTACACCACTACCGCATAAGTTTATTATTACATACTTACCATGTGTACTGTTAATTTAATATTACATATTTACCATGTATACTGTTAGTTTGTTATTAATTACTTACCATGTATACTTTTAGTTTATTATCAAATACTTATTATGTATACTGTTAGTTTATTATCAAATACTTACCATGTGTACTGTAATGATTATGTTAACTATTATGTAATAAGAAACGGTTTTTGTTTTTCTTAAACCTTTATGTAGGGTAATACTTAAACTTTTATATAGGGTAATACCTCAAACTTTATGTAGGGTAATACCTCAACCTTTATGTAGGGTAATACTTAAACCTTTATACAGGGTAGTACTTAAAATACAGTTTTAACAACAGCAGTTGAACTGCTCATTGCTGGAGTAAAGCATAGATTTTAAGTAACAAATAATATAGTATCATATATAATAATATAATATGTAATATAATATGTTTATAGTGATAAAGATATAAATAAAAATAAGATATTTTAGTCTACAACAATACTCAACTGATGCTATATATTCATTATTATGACTTTTATAGTAGCCTTAAAACAGAATTTGTTACCTACGGAAAAAGTTAAATCACGCTTAGAACAACTGAATGATTTAGACGAGGTTTATATTTTGCTTTATATTTTGTTTTAATAAAAATGTTTGAAAAT